GAAAAGTGTCCCTGAGCAGCTGCCAGGTGAGTGCCCTCCTTCCCTGCTGGGAACTGCTGTGATCCCACTTCAACCAGGAACTCTGTGCTTGGGGCAGGGAAGGTGGGACCTCAAAGCCCACCCAGTGCCACCCCTGCCATGGGCAGGGACACCTTCCACTAGCCCAGGTTGCTCCAAGCCCCGTCCAACCTGGCCTTGGACACTTCCAGGGATCCAGGGGCAGCCACAGTTTCTCTGGGCAACCTGTGCCAGGGCCTCCCCACCCTCACAGGGAACAATTTATTCCCTACATCTAACCTAAATTTCCTCTCTTTCATAAAATAGTTTGAGTTGGAAGGGACCTTAAAGCTCATCTCACCCTCCTGCCACGAGCAGGGACAAATTCCACTAGCCCAGATTGCTGAGATTAAGTGGCATCTCCGTGGAAATAACTCCAGCAAACCAAGAAGTGTTGCTAGTTCTTAGAAAAAGCACCCAGCACAGAAGGGTTTTGTGCTGGAGAAAGCCTTTTTTTCCCCCCACCAAAAAATGTTTGTTTTTAGGGAAACATCCATTTCAGTTTTCCAGTGGGAAATAACAAAACATTTTGGTTTCGCTTTGCCTTCAAATACGACTTGAGATTTTATTTTTATTTGGTTGCTTTTAACTGCCAGTGCTGTTGGAAAGCTGGCTGAAAGCAGGCATTTCCACTTAAAATCAGGTTGAAACCTCCCAGAGGGAAACTCTGCCTTTTGAATCAAAACCTTTTGGAAGCAGGATTTTTAATCTTATTCAGGAAAATACGGATTTCTGGGTGGCCATCCTCAAACCTGGAGGGAGGAAACCCTCCCCCTGAGTCAGCTCATCCCCCTTTCCCACTGGGATACGGGGTGGGATCCAAGTGTTTGAGATGGAAACAGTTTGGCTGCATTTCCACCTTCAGAGCTATGAGGACCCAGAAGGGCTGGGGGACATCAGGTCCTCCTGCACCCACAGCCACCATTCCCAGCTCCACTCTCCCGGCTCAGGGAATCCCACTCACCCCTTCAGCTGCCACAGCTCAGATGACTGATGGCACTTTGAGATTTATGCCACTGTGCTGCTTGTCACAGCAACCTCCAACAGATCACATTTTTGGCAGGCAGGGAAACTCCCTCGGTTCTTTGCAGCTCATGGAGAAGCACTGGATTTGTGTTGGCTCTTCCCTTTTGTTGTCACATTCCCCGGGAGCCTGGCAAGGGAAGCTCAGCCAGACACAACCCCAGGCTGCTGAGAGGTTCAAGGTGGAGGTTGCACCATCAGATCCTGGAGAAGAGGAGACTGAGGGCAGAGCTCA